CGTCTAAGTATTGGCTTTTGAATGCCAAGCAGACAAGCCTGTGGACAGAAACACTTCCTCCTTTGCAGAAATATGCTTTAGACATGAGACCTCTATATTTAGAATGCCTTGCCAGACATGATGGCGCAAACCTTTAGTCCCAGCACTTGGGAGGCAGAGGCAATTCAGCTGAAGTCTGAGTTCAAAGCCAACCTGCTAGTCTACAAAGCAAGTTCCAGAACAACCAGGGGTACAGTGAGAACCTGTCTTTTTTTTTTTTATTGATATTTATTGAGCTCTACATTTTTCTCTGCTCCCCTCCCTGCCTCTCCCCCCCCCTTCAATCCTCCTTCAAGGTCCCCACGCTCCCGATTTACTCAGGAGATCTTGTCTGTTTTACTTTCTTCTTCCCATGTAGAATAGATCTATGTAAGTCTCTCTTAGTGTCTGCATTGTTGTCTAAGCTCTCTGGGATTGTGGTTTGTAGGCTGGCTTTCTTTGCTTTATATTTAAAAACCACCTGTGAGTTGAGTACATGTGATAATTGTCTTTTTGTGTTTGGGTTACCTCACTCAAAATGATGTTTTCTATCTCCCTCCATTTTCCTGCAAAATTCAAGCTGTTGTTATTTTTTTCTGCTGTGTAAATGTATAAATTTACCACATTTTCTTATCCATTCTTCGATCAAGGGGCATTTAGGTTGTTTCCAGGTTCTGGCTATGACAAACAAAGCTGCTATGAATATGAACACAGTTGAGCACATGTCCTTGTGGCACGATTGAGCATCCTTTGGATATATACCCGAAAGTGGTATTACTGGGTCTTGAGGAAGGTTGTTTCCTAATTTTCTGAGAAATTGCCACACTGACATCTAAAGGAGTTGTACCAGCTTTCACTCCCACCAGCAATGCAGAAGTGTTCCCTTTACCCCACAACCTCTCCAGCATAAGTTGTCATCAGTGTTTTTGATCTTGGCCATTCTTACAGGCATAAGATGGAATCTCAGAGTTGTTTTGATTTGCATTTCTCTGTTGACTAAGGATGTTGAACATTTCCTTAAGTGTCTTTCAGCCATTTTAGATTCCTCTCGAGAGAGTTCTCTGTTTAGGTCTGTACTCCATTTTTTTTTTATTGGATTATGTGTTCTTTTGGTGTCCAATTTCTTGAGGTCTTTGTATTTTGGAGATCAGACCTCTGTCTGATGTGGGGTAGGTGAAGATCTTTTCCCATTCTGTAGGCTGTCGTTTTGTCTTGTTGACCGTGTCCTTTGCTTTACAGAAGCTTTTCAGTTTCAGGAAGTCCCATTTATTAATTGTTTTGCTCAGTGTCTGTGCTTCTGGGGTTATATTTAAGAAGTGGTGGGCTGGAGAGATGGCTCAGCGGTTAAGAGCATTGCCTGCTCTTCCAAAGGTTCTGAGTTCAATTCCCAGCAACCACATGGTGGCTCACAACCATCTATAATGAAGTCTGGTGCCCTCTTCTGGCATGGAGACACACACACAGACAGAATACTGAATACATAATAAATAAATAAATATTAAAAAAAAAAAGAAGTGGTGACGCCGGGCGGTGGTGGCGCACGCCTTTAATCCCAGCACTCGGGAGGCAGAGGCAGGCAGATCTCTGTGAGTTCGAGGCCAGCCTGGTCTACAAAGGGAGTTCCAGGACAGCCTCCAAAGCTACAGAGAAACCCTGTCTCGAAAAACCAAAAAAAAAAAAAAAAAGTGGTTCCCTGTGCCAATGTGGAGAACCTCTCTTAACAAAAACCAAAAAACAGCCAGGAGGTGGTAGCCCACCCCTTTAATCTCAGGAGGCAGAGGTGGGTGGATGTCTGTGAGTTTGAGGCCACCCTGGTCTACAAGAGCTAGTTCCAGGACAGGCTCCAAAACTACAGAGAAACCCTGTCTTTGGGGGGGGGGGGGGAGAAAAAAAGAAAAGAAAACCAAAAAAAGTTTCATGAGAGCCTGTTCTCTAGAATGTGCTGCTTAACTATTTCTTTATTTCTTTGAATTTTTGAGACAGGGTTTCTCTGTGTAGCTTTGGAACGTGTCATGGAACTTGCTTTCTAGACTAGGCTGGCCTCTAACTCATAGAGATCTGCCTGTCTCTGCCTGTTTAGTGCTGGGATTAAAGGCGTGAGCCGCCGCCACCGGACCTGATTAGCTTTTTCAAATGGGTCATTCCTAGGTGTAGTTTTTAGGTAAGCATGATGGCTCATCCAGCATTCATCCAAAGGTGGAAGGGAAGAGCCAGCACTCTCTCTCTCTCTCTCTCTCTCTCTCTCTCTCTCTCTCTCACACACACACACACACACACACACACACACACACACACGAAAGTGCACAGTACAGTGAGAAGCACGTTTATACATTGGGCAACCCTCACCACCACACATCTCCAGAAGTGTACACCTTGCCAAACAGGCGCAACCATTAAACAGTTCTTTGCAGCAGTCTCCTTGGCAATGGGCACTTCATTTTCTGCCTGTGATCTTGACTTCTTACTGCCAGTGCTTTACGTCAGCGGGGTCCTACTGAGCTACAGCCCATCCTTCATTTGTAGAGTTTGTCTCTAGTAATTCACTTACTTGATCAATAAATATTTGGCTGCCTAAGACATGTCAAGCTCTATTCTTAACTCTTGGGATTTGCTAACAATGATTCTCGTCTTCCTAGAGCTTACATTCTCTCGGGGGGGGGGGGGGAATAGGCAAAAAAGCAACGTAAATGTGTAAGTAGATTATCCCATATGGTAAATGATAATCTCTATCAAAGAAAGAAAGGGACCTCTTGTCCCAGCACTCAGGAGGCTGAGGCAGGAGGGTCTCTACTAGTACAAGGCCAGCCTGGTCTACAAAGTGAGTTCCAGGACAGCTAGGGCTACATGAAAAATAAAGAAAAGAAAGAAAAGGAAAGGAACTGGAGAGGTGGCTCAGTGGTAAAGGTACTGACTGCTCTTTGAAAGGATCAAGTTCATTTCCCAGCGCCATTTCCCAGCAGTCAATTCCAGGGGATCCATTACCCTCTTGTGGCCTCCAAGGCACTAGGCATACACATGGTGCACAGACAAAAACACTGGTATTTCTTTTAATGAAAAGGAAAATAACCAGGCAGTGGTGGTGCATTCCTTTAATCCCAGCACTCAGGAGGCAGAAGCAGGCAGATCTCTGTGAGTTCGAGAACTGCCAAGGCTACACAGAGAAACCCTGTCTGAAAAAAAACAAAAAAATAACACAAAATGGTGAGAAAAAAGACATGTGCATCCCAAGAGCGTGACACTTGAGAATGATCGTGGAAGGGGCATAGTTCACTGCAACAACCATTCCGTAACTGTTTTTCTTCTAATGTGAATCTTTCTAAGCTTATCTGCTCTTAGGTTTGCCTGTGTTGGCACAGGTCCATAATTCCAGCTACTCGGGAGGATAAGCAAAGCATCTCTGAGCCCAGAAACACAAGTCTGGGTGAGAGGGAGCTCTTGTCTCAAACAACAATAAATATGAGGTCCATTGTCGGGGACCCTGATACAAGGCATCACAGACTACCTTCTACATAAGGGTTTAATATATTTTCATAGCGCCGGGCGGTGGTGGTGCACGCCTTTAATCCCAGCACTCAGGAGGTAGAGGCAGGCGGATCTCTGTGAGTTCGAGGCCAGCCTGGTCTACAAGACCTAGTTCCAGACAGGCACCAAAGCTACAGAGAAACCCTGTCTCGAAAATCCAACATATATATTCACAGTAGAAGTTCAGTTAATCATGTGCTTAAACTACAGGCTTAAAATGTTTAAGATTTATTTATTTATTTATTATGTATACAATGTTCTGCCTGCATGTATCCCTACAGGCCAGAAGAGGGCACCAGATCTCATTCATTATTGCAAAGCCACTATATGGTTGCTGGAAATTGAACTCAGGGACCTCTGGAAGAGCTGTCAGTGCTCTTAACCGCTGAGCTATCTCTCCAGTCCCAGGCTTAAACTATTTATGAAGTTGTTGTGGAATGATCTCTTTGCACACTATAGATATGTATTACTCTCAATGGTTAATAAAGGAGATGACTGACCTCCAGGTAGAGGTTAGATGGGACTTGTAGACAAAAAGAGCATGAAGAAGTGGAGCACTCTGAAAAGACTCAGAAAAAAGCAAGATAAATTTGCCATGCTGAAAAAAGGTACAGTGAGCCAGGGATGATGACCTGGCGTTCTCTAGCACTGTGTCCTGGATACCACAGACCAACCAGAGAAGTGTGTGTGTGTGTGTGTGTGTGTGTGTGTGTGTGTGTGTCAGAAGAAGGCTTTAATACTGTCAACTTCAAAACATTGAACATTGAACCTCCTTTGAAGTCCACCTTTCGCCTGCTCCCGCTGTTCCTCCACAAATGTAATTTGAATTTGTCAAGGCTACCCGAATTTCAGACTGTAGGTTCACAAAGTAAAATCATAATTGTTAAGTATTTTCTGGCCGGTAAACCTTCCCACCGGTGTAATAATCCAAATTAGACCAGATCAGACCGAATTAGAAGACAGCCAAGGAAAAAAGAGAGACCACCTGTTCCGTCGCTGTGGGCGTGGTCTCGATCTTCCCGGGGGAGGGGTCCCCGTTTGGCCGGCTTCCTTGTGGGTGGAGTCTGGATGGCGGCCACTCCCAGGGGAGGGAGCTTGGAATGGAGTTTTCCGCCCAACATTTTAAGATGGATGCCAGCGGACTGGGGTGAAGCCTCCCCATCTAAACAATTCAGACTCTTTGTATAAAGGGGTGCCAGGGAGCTGAGGTGTCGCTTCCGACCAAACAATAATGTGCCCGCAAATTCAAAGAACCTGATAAGACAAACTGGTCAAACTCATTGTTCGTGAGTGGCAACCTGGCTATAAAGACTGGCCCACCTGAAAGGTCTAACTTCAACCTTCAAGGCAGAATCCCCAGCCAGCGCCATAGGAACCCGGCAGGTGGAGAACGGACAAACCCAGCCTGCGCGCGCCACCCCGGGGCCTCAGCGACTCTAACAGCCAATCAGAGGCGACGCTGGACGCAGGGCGTGCTGCGCTCTGACGCAGGGCAAGGTGGCGGCGCCCCTGTGGGCTTCCACTCTCTCGGTTGTTTCGGGTTCTCTGTCCGCCCCTCGGCATGCTCCTTCTCCGAGCCCGTGGCCGCTGGGCCGCGGCGTCCCTCGGCAAATGCCTGCCCTCGTGTCGCCTCCGCAGCGACAGCGCCGCTCCGTGCAGCGCGCACTTCGATGTGGTCGTGATCGGAGGGGGGCACGCGGGGCACCGAGGCGGCCGCCGCCGCTGCTCGCTGTGGCTCGCGGACTCTGCTCCTCACACACCGCGTGGACACGATCGGTGAGCAGCCCGTGGCCTCGCACGGTCGCGAGGCCAGGGGTGGTGCGCGGCGGGGACTCTGCCGCGGACCGAGCACGGGCAGGGTTGAGGTCGGCAAGCGGTGGGTGCACGGGGTGTGGGAGCGGAGGACTGGAGAGCGCGCTAGGTTGCCGGGTTAACCTTCCCGGATCTTCACCTCAAAGACAGGGTGAGGGACATTTTTACACCCGCTCGATTAAGCGACATAGTGCGCTCACCGAGAGCTTGTCAAGCCCTTGTGACCAACGGCGCCATTGAGAGTATCGTGCCTAAGACTTGCTGATTCGCGGGGTCGCGTACGCGCCACCTCTTTATCTCTTGTCACTTGACGAACATTAGATTTATCGCGTTTCTTGGTTCTTGCAAGTAATGTTTCTTTAAACGTAGAAGTACACTTGTCGCTTCAGCTCAATGCATATGCACACAGTCGTGCAGAACCTTTATTCTGTCAACTCAGTAATATATATTTAAGAACATTTCAGAAGCCTATTAATAATTCTAATAAATGAGTTTAATAAAAGCAGCCCTAGTTTGGAACGAAATGATTGGGCCTGTTGTTATTTTTTGTGACAGGGTCTCAGTGTCTGACTGGTCTGAAACTTGCTGTGTAGACCAGTCTGGCTTGGAACTCACAGTGATCCATCCATCTCAGCCTCTAGAGTGCTGGGATTTAAAGTGTACCCCATTACACCTAGCCAACATGGTTGTTTTAAGGAAATTTGGTACAGTATCAAGAGTTCCTTGGCTTCCAGGAAGAAGAATGACTGCCTCAGAAGGTTCGGTCTAAAGGAACACAGCGGGAATGAGTCACTCATCCTCTGCTACTCCCTCCTGTCTTTGAAGTTAGAGGAAAAAGATGTTTTTGTAAATGAGTAATTACCTAGAGGAGCAACTCTTTATTAAATAATATGTACAAGGTGCTCATTTATTTCCCATGATTGTGTCCATTCTCTTTAGGTCAGATGTCCTGTAATCCTTCCTTTGGTGGCATCGGAAAGGGGCATTTGATGAGGGAAGTAGATGCCTTGGATGGCTTGTGTTCGCGGATCTGTGACCAGTCTGGTATACATTACAAAGTATTAAACCGGCGAAAGGGCCCTGCTGTGTGGGGGCTGAGAGCGCAAATTGATCGGAAGCTTTATAAACAGAACATGCAGGTGAGCGGAGGTGAGGACAGGAAGGACTGTGGGTCCCTCCAGCTGCTCTTTCAACTGGTGGTCTCTCTTGACAGAAGGAAATCCTGAATACGCCCCTGCTCACTGTTCAGGAGGGAGCTGTAGAAGATCTAGTTCTCACAGAAGCAGAGCCTGGATACGCTGGGAAGTGCAGGGTCAGCGGTGTTATTTTGGGTATGTACTGGCTAATAATGCTCATCCCAGCAAACAGACCCTGGGAGACATGTGCTTTAGAGAAGAGTATGGAGATGTTTTTCCTATGCCAGGAAATTCTTGTTTTCTCTGCCCGGATAAGGAAAATTACAGAAACAGCCCTCTGTCTCTTCATTTTGATCATCATGAGTGTAATGATCCATTTCAATGAGTCTCAGCCCAATTCCGGGTTCATAGGTGCTGTTTTAGCGTAAGACTCCAGAGCCTGCATGGGTTTATCTTTTACCCAGGTTCATCTTTCATAAATTTGTTTCTGTGCTTGTTATTTTATGTGTGACGTGCATGTATGTGTAAGTTAGAGGACAGCTTTCGAGAGTCAATTTCCTTCTCTCAACATGTGGGTACCGGGAATGGAATTCAGGCCACTGGGCTTGGCAGCAAGCTTCATTACCCACTGAGCCACCTCAACCATGTCCCCTTTTTTTTACTATCCTTTCCGCCCCCCGCCCCCCCCCCCCCCCACACACACACACACACATCCTGGGCAGGGCTCTAACAGTATAGCAGAGAATGGCTTTGAAAAACCTCAAACTCGGGGCTGGAGTGATGACTCAGTGGTTAAGAGCATTGCCGCTCTTCCAAAGGTCCTGAGTTCAATTCCCAGCAACCACATGGTGGCTCACAACCACCTGTAATGGGGTCTGGTGCCCTCTTCTGGCCTGCAAGCATACATGTAGACAGAATATTGTATGCATAATAAATAAATAAATATTTTTTTTTTTTTAAGAAAAGCCTTTACTGTGGAAGTTTCACACAGGAAGGAAGGTGACCTTGGTGGGTTGGAGCCAGGGACACCACCTAGTCACACCCCTCACTCTGGAGGTTTACTGGGGGGAGGTGCAGAGGCATCCTCTGAGTGAGGGCAGAAGGAAAGAGAGCCAGGGGCGGGAGGAGTTGGCCCTGCACAGGCGCGTAAGGAGAGTGGTCTACTTGGTGTCTGCCATAGCTGTAGTGGAACAGCTCGGCTGCTGTTGATGGCGTGTCCTACTAGGTCCCTGAGAGCAGGCCCGTGTAAATGCCTGGATGCTAACTCTGCCTCTTACATGCTGCGATTCTAATTCATGTGAAATTACCTTCTCCCCACTGAGCTGTACACCTGGCCCTGCATTCCTATCTTAGTTAGAGTTACTGCTGTTATGACAAGACACTGTGACCAAAGGCAAGCTGGGGAAGAAAGGGTTTATGCGGTTTAGCTTTCATGTTCATAGGCAGTCATTGACGGAAGTCAGGACAAGAACTCAAACAGGGTGATAACCTGGAGGCAGGAGCTGATGCAGAGACCATGGAAGGGTGCTGATTACTGCCTTTTCCCCCGGGGTTTGCTCTGCCTGCTTTTTATGGCACCTGGGGGGAGCACCGCTCACAATGGGCTGGACCCTCCCACTTTATTCACCAGTTGAGAAAATGCTCTACAGGCCTGTTTTGTACAATTTTTTATTCCTTTAAGTTTCTGACAGTTTCAGAAAGATGAAAAAATCATGTCATATTTAGCTAGAAGTCTAAAATCTGCTAATTTTCTCTTTTTTAATATTTATTTTATGTGTATGAATGATTGTCTCCATGTATTTGTGTACAATGTGTGTATGCCTGATTCCTGCAGAAGTCAGAGAGGGCAATTGATCCCCCAGAATTGGAGTTATGGACAGTTGTGAACTTCCATGAGTGTCCTGGGAATTAAATCTAGTTCTTTTGCAAGAGCAACCATTGCTCTTAGCTGCTGATCCATCTTTCCAGCCGATAGTTTTCTAAATGAACCTTCATAATTAAACACTGTGCCCATGTGATCTTAGGAACATGCATTTACTGCTTTTGGGGCGTTGGTTTTTGGTTGGTTGGGGGTTTGTTGTTGTTTGGTTGGTTGGTTTTGGTTTTTCAAGACAGGGTTTCTCTATGTAGCCCTGACTGTCCTGGAACTTGCTCTGTAGACCAGGCTAGGCTCCAACTTGCAGAGATACGCTTGCCTCTACCTCCCAAATGCTGGGTAAAGACATACACCACCACTGCCAAGCTGATTTTAGGAATATGTGAATTGGTAATGATATATCATGTTTTCCCTACCATACTTCTTAAATTCTTGAGATTCATTACATATATTGTGTGTGTGTGTGCACCCAGGTATGTGTACATGTGCATAGTGGCCAGAGGTCAGCGTTAAGTGTCTTCCACACATTTATTTTTCTGTTTGTGGAGACACATGTCTGGCACACTCATGGAGGTGAGAGAACAGCTTGTAGGAGACAGCTCTCTCCTTCCACCACGTGAGTTCCAGGGATCAAGCTCAGGTCATCAGGCATCATGGCAAGTGCTTTTTTGCCAAGCTCCTGCATTGCTTGCTTTTGGAAGCAAGTGTCTCTCGCAGATCCTGAACTCACTGATTTAGCTAGCGTGGCTGAACTGTCGCACGTTTCTAGGGGCAAGGAGTTTTTCTGTGATTCTGATAGAAAGTATTCAGATCTGTCTTGTTCTAGTAGTTTACTGGTTTTGTTGTTTTCTGCTCATTTAGCAGATGGAAGTACAGTTTATGCAGAGAGTGTAATTCTGACAACGGGGACATTTCTGAGAGGCATGGTCATAATTGGATTGGAGATGCATCCTGCAGGACGTTTGGGGGATCAACCCTCAATAGGGTTGGCTCAGACTCTGGAGAAGTTGGGGTTTGTGGTAGGAAGACTGAAGACTGGGACTCCACCCCGACTTGCCAAAGATTCCATTAATTTCAACATTCTAAACAAGCACACACCAGATAATCCATCCATCCCATTCAGCTTTCTAAACGAAACAGTGTGGATCAAGGTAAGATGGTTTATGACGACCCAGTTTGATAGCTGATGCTGGCTATTGATGGCAGAAGTATCCTAATCATCTATCTTTCTCTTCATTTGCTTTTATTTATTTATTTATTTACTCATTTATTTTGGGTTTCTGAGAAAGTGTGGTTTTGGAACTTGTCCTGGAACTCACTCAGTAGACCATCTGGCCTCAAACTCACAGAGATCCACCTGTCTCTGCCTCCTGAGTGCTGGGATTAAAGGCGTGCACCACCACCCAGCTTCTTTTGCTTTTATTTTTTTAATTTCATTTTTGTTTTTATTTATGTGTATGTATCAGTGTGAGGTATGTATTGCCTGTGGGGGCCAGAACAAAGTATTGGAACCCCTTGGAACTAGAATTACAAGAGATTGTGAACTGACCATTCTGGGTACTAGGAACTGAACTCTGAGCCTCTAGAAGAGCAGCAAACATCCTTAACTACTGAGTCATCTCTCCTGCACCTCCTATTTTTTGCTCTCTTTTATGTGTATGAATGTTTTGCCTTTATTGGCAATATGAATGTTATTGCCCATGTGAATGTCTGGTACCCAAGGAGATTAGCAGAAGATGTTGGATTCCACAGAACTATAATTACAGAGAGTTTTGAGCTACTGCATGGGTGCTGGATATCAAACCATGTCCATTGGAAAGCAACTGTTCTTAACTACTGAACCAGTCCCATCTTTCCTCCCTCCCTCCTTCCTCTTACCTACCTTCCTTCCTTCTTTCCTCCCTCCCTCCCTCCTTTCTCCCTTTTCTCTCTCTCTCTCTCTCTCTCTCTCTCTCTCTCTCTCTTGAGGCTGGGTTTCTTTGTGGAGCCTTGACTGTCCTAGACTAGGCTAACCTCACTAGGCTCACCCAAAACTCACAGAGATCCACCTGCCTCTCAAGTGCTACCACTGCCCAGTACAGCTGGCATTCTTAACTACTGACCCATCCCTCCAGTCCCCCACATCTTTCTTTCTCTTTCTTTTTTGTTCTGATTTGGTTTTGAGACAGGGTTGGTTTCTCACAATATATGTGACCTAGAACTCACTGTAGCTTGTGCTGGCCTTGGAATTTGTGGCAGTCCTACTTACCACGCCCAGCTTCTTCTGGTGGCAGAATGAATAAAAATGTGAAAAAAATGAAAGCGTTAGCTGATTAGCAGTTGGGTTTTTTCTATACATTCTTGTGTCTTTACTTCTACCTAACTTACTTTGTGCACTGCCTTGGTTACTTTTCTATTGCTGTGATAAGATATGACCAAGGTACCTACAGAAGAGTTCATTGGGGGTTTACAGATTCAGAAGGTGAGCATGGCAGCAGATGTGGCGCTGGACAGGTTAGAGCTTAAATTGTGATCCAACAAGCCTGAGGCAGAGAGAGAGAGAGAAGGCTAGCTGGGAATGGCCCTAGTCTTGAAACATCAAGCCCACCCCCAGTGACACACCTCCTCGAACAAGGCCATACTTCCTAATCCTTCCCAAACAGTCCCAACAACTGGTGACCAAGTTTTCAAATATATGGCCTTGTGGGGATTGTTGTCATAGAACTCACCACATACATTAACCTTTTTGAAACAATTTCAGATTTACAAAATAGAAAAACTTGTAGGGCAGTGGTGGCACACGCCTTTAATCCCAGCACTCGGGAGCAGAGGCAGGTGGATCTCTGTGAGTTCGATGTGAGTTCGAGGCCAGCCTGGTCTACAAGAGCTAGTTCCAGGCTAGGCTCTAAAACTACAGTGAAACCCTGTCTCAGAAAACCGAGAGAGAGAGAGAGAGAGAGAGAGAGAGAGAGAGAGAGAGAGAGAGAGCGAGAGAGAGAAAGAGAGAGAGAGAGAGAGAGAGAGAACGCGCGCGTGTGCCTGGAGACCTGGACTCAGTCCTCAGGACACACATGGTGGAGAGAAGACCCACTCCCAAGAGTTGTTCTCTGACCTCCACACATGCTGTGGCATGTGTTTATGCACACATATACACATGTAAGCACATGTACAAAAATGTAATAATATACAACAAGACTGTCAAGCTGCCCTTAATTCCAGCACTTGGGAGGCACAGGCAGGCAGATCTCTTTGAATTCCAGGACACCCAGAGTTGTTAACACAGAGAAACCCGTCTTTTGGGGGGGGTTGGGGAACAAGGCTGTTATAACAAACTTCTTTTTTTATTTAAAAAAAATTAGACTTATTTTTATTTTAAGTGTATCAGATTTGCCTGAATGTATGTTTGAAAGCCACTCATGGTCGTTATTTTGCCATGCTACCTCCCCATAAAGTTGTGCGTATTTATTGTTATAGTATAGTTATGGAGCATTCAACAGTAAATGGTAGAGATTGTGAGCCTTTCTCTCTAAAGAATTCAATCTGAACCTCAACTAGACAGACATCCTTTTTTATAAACGCCGAGCAGTGTTGAGATGGAGGACTGAGCAGTGCTGTTATCTAATAGGCAGCCCCGTCAGAGTGTTCCCATTTCCCAGTGTTGTCCAGAGTCATCCTCATCCTGCTCTGGCTCTCTACAGTTGGTTTGTTTGTTTGTTTGTTTTGACATTTATTTGTAAATTTCTTTGTATTTGTTTGCATGTTACGCATGCTCGTGGAAGTCAGATGACAACTTTTAGGATTTGGTTCTGTCCTGCCACGTGGGTCCTAGAGATTGCAGTCAGGTGAGCAGGCCTGGCAGCAAGTGCCTTAACCTGCTGGTCCATCTAGATGGCCCAACACTTTCTGCTTTGTGTTTTCTTTTTGGGTTGTTCTTGCTTGGTTTTGGGGTTTTTTGGGGGGGGGGGGAGAGGCGGGTGTTCGAGACAGGGTTTCTCTGTCCTGGAACTAGCTCTTGTAGACCAGGCTGGCCTCAAACTCACAAAGATCCGCCTGCCTCTGCCTCCTGAGTGCTGGGTTAAAGGTGTGTGCTACCATTTTCTGGCAGCGCCCCTAGTGTTTATGTATAATAAAAGGAGTTAAGTCATCCCCACCCCCAGAATTTAGCATATTCTAGATTTGTCTGTTTCCTCTACCTTCTTTCCTAGAAACTGATAATTAGATTTAGAAACTTGCTTAAATTTAGGTTCAACAACAGCATAAGTTGTGCTTATTTTTGGCAGGAATACTTAGTTATGCACAAATTTAATGTGTGCTAAAGTAAGTCAGTATTGTGTAGGTTTTATCTGAATAAGAGGCAAATCAGTAAGTGAAGAAGCAAAATAGCTAGGCAGTAGTGGTGCACACCTTTAATCCCAGCACTCGGGAGGCAGAGGCAGACAGATCTCTGAGTTTGAGGCCAGCCTGGTCTACAGAGTATGTTCCAGGACAGGCTCCAAAGCTACAGAGAAACCCTGTCTCGAAAAACCAAAGAAAAAAGAAACAAAGAAAAAGAAGCAGCAGCAAATTAATGTTATATGCCAGCCATGGTGCCCCACGTACAATCACAGCTGTTAGGAAGTAGGTAGAAGCTTCTCTGTGCCGAGCGTTCGAGGCCAGTCCAGGCTACTAGAGACCCTGTCTCAGACAGGCAGTGAAATCTTTGTTGTATGTGGTTTCTATTTTGTAGCCAGAAGATCAACTGCCATGTTACTTGACTCATACCAACCCCAGAGTGGATGAGATTGTCCTTGAGAACCTGCACCTGAACAGTCACGTTAAGGAAACTACAAGAGGACCCCGGTAAGGCCTAGAAGGGAGTACTCAGTCTCTTTAAGGAATGAGGTAAACTTTTTCTTGTCATTGAATTTACCTCAAATTTCAATGTCTTATTCTAGATACTGTCCCTCCATTGAATCTAAGGTTTTACGTTTTCCAAACCGTGTTCATCAGGTTTGGTTGGAACCGGAAGGAATGGATTCTGACCTTATCTACCCGCAAGGGTTATCTGTTACACTGCCAGCTGAGTTACAAGAGAAAATGATAGCGTGCATCAGAGGCCTGGAGAAAGCCAAAATGGTTCATCCAGGTAAAGAAGGTCACAGGTCTACTTCAGTAAGCAGTCAGGTGGTCTTCTCCCATTGTTGCTTAGTGCTCCATAAAATAAGCCCAAGCTGGACATGGTGACACACATCTGTAATCCTAACACTAACACTTGGGAAGCTAAAACAGGAAGGTTCCTTCAAGTTTGAGGCTGTGTGTGGCTACATAGCAAGAACCTCTGTCAAAGTCTGTATTAATAGATGAAACCCGGCGTGTATGCATTTCCCGTAGTCTGATAGACTTTGTAGTTCCTCTTGGAGGCAGTGCAGTGATTTTGGCTTACCTTGTGCACTTGTTCTTTGTCCAGGCTATGGTGTTCAGTATGATTATTTAGATCCCCGCCAGATCAGTCCTTCTCTTGAGACGCATTTGGTTCAGCGGTTATTCTTTGCTGGGCAGATAAATGGAACCACTGGCTATGAGGAAGCTGCAGCTCAGGTAAAATTTGTTTTGTTTTGTTTTGCTTGGCTTAAGACAAGGTCTCTCTAGGTTGTCCTTAAACTCACTGTGTAGACCAGGCTGGCTTCAAACTCACAGAGATCCACCTGCTGCTGCTTCCCAAGTGCTAGGATTAAAGGTGTGCTCTACCATGTCAAGCTCCAGGTAAGAATTTATTCATGGGGCTAGAGAGATGTCTTAGAGGTTAAGAGCACTAGCTACTCTTTCAGAGATTTTGAGTTCATTTCCCAGAACCACTTCATGGCTCACAGCCATCTATAATGAGATCTAGTGCCCTCTTCTAGCATACAGGCAAAACACTGTATACATAAGAAATAAATAAATCCTTAAAAAAGAAAGAAAGGCCGGGCGGTGGTGGTGCACGCCTTTAATCCCAGCACTCGGGAGGCAGAGGCAGGCGGATCTCTGTGAGTTCGAGACCAGCCTGGTCTACAGAACTAGTTCCAGGACAGGCTCCAAAGCCACAGAGAAACCCTGTCTCGAAAAACCAAAAAAAAAAAAAAACCAAAAAAAAAAGAAAGAAAGAAAGAATTTATTCAGATGTTGCTATAAACCAAAAGAGACCATTTCATTATACAGATCTTGGATACAATAGTATTTCTGGCTAAGTGGATATAGCTGTTTATAGCAGCTATATATAATGCACTTGTTTGTTTTTTGAAATAGGGTCTTGCTATGAAGCCCAGGCTGATCTTTTATTTTTTTCAAATAGAGACTCATGAGCCCAGATTGGCCTCAGACTTGCTGTGTATCCAAGGCTGGCCTTGAAAGTCCAGTCCTGCTCTCACTTTGCAAGTGCTGAGACTACAGCTCTGCTTTGCCTCCCTAGTGTTGGGACTGCAGACATGTGCATGGTGCCCAGCATGTTGGGCATCATTTTGAAAGCATGTACAGTTAGTTTCTGAGTCCCTGGATCTGCTAGGATATTGAGGGGAAAAAAATATGGAATTGCTTCTAAAGTGTGAAAAAAAGAACATTTAATTCTTTTAATTTCTGAAAATTATGTTGTTGTTACTGTTTTGTCTTTGTCTTTCTGTGTTGTGTATGTGTGCACACTGTGCATCTTGAGGCCAGAAATCAGCATTAGATATCTTTCTCAATTGTTCTTCACCTTTTTTTTAATGTATATGAGTGTTGTGTCTGCATGTATGTCTGTGTACCATGTGTGTGCCTAGTACCTATGGGGGCAGAAGAGGGCATTAGGTCCCGTGAACCTAGAATGCAAATGATTGGCGCCACCATGTTGATGCTAGGAATCGAATTCAGGGCTGTGGCAGAGCAGCCTAACTGCCGAGGCATTTCTCTAGCTCTGTTTGGTTTTGCTTTGTTTTTCTTATTAATATGTATGGGAAGGGGGTATGTGCACATGACTGAGATGCCAGAGAATGCCAGAAGAGGGATTTTCTGGAGCTGGAGTTGTTGTTATAGGTGGTTGTAAGCTGCCCAGCACGGGTACAGTAAACCAAACTTGAGTTCTCTGCAAGAGCAGTCACACTCTTTTTTTTTTTTTTGGTTTGTTTTTGTTTTGAGACAAGATTTCACGGTAGCTTTGGAGCATGTCCTGGAACTAGCTCTTGTAGACCACAGTATACACTCTTAACATCTTGACCCAGTCCCTCCACCTTATTTTTTGAGACAGAATCTCTCATTGCACTCACCAGTTAGGCTAAACTGACTAACCAGTGAGTCTCTTCCTTCTTAGAGCTTAGATCACAGGTCTGTTCCACTCTGCTCGGCCTTTTCATGAGACTGTTGGGTATCAAATTGGGGCCCTTATGCTTCAGAGATAGGCGATTTATGAAATCTTTCCAACCTTCCGTAATATTCTTCACAGCTGTCTTGGTCACTGTTCTATTGCTGTGAAGAGACACCATGACCACAGCATCTTATAAAAGAAAGCATTTAATCTGGGCTGGTTTACAGTTTCAAAGGCTTAGTCTATTCTCATCATGGGGAAGAACATAGTGGCATGCAGGCAGACAGTGCTAGAGAAATACTAGCTGAGAGTTCTATAACTGGATCCACAGGCAGCAGGAAGAGGGAGATACTGGGCTTGCTTTGACTTTTGAAACCTCCAGCCCTTCCCCAGTGACACACCTCCAACCTTCCAAGCCACACCTTCTAATTCTTCTCCCTGATGACTAAGCATTCAGCCTCAAGGGGGGTTTACTCAAACCATCACACAGGGATAAATTGTATCTTTTGTGTGTTTGTACATATAAAAAGCTAGAGAAGTCTCACAAGTAGGTTTATAAAGATTATCCACCCCCAAACTCCCAATCCCCTGCAGAATGAATCCTACATTCTAACGTGTGTTCTGTTTCTGAATGTGGATCACATTTATGTTCCTGATGAGCCTGCTTTCTTCCTACCCTGTGTGTTTGTTTTGATTTTTTGAGACAGGGTTTCTCTGTGTAGCCCTGGCTGTCCTGAAACTCTATTTGTAGACCAGGCTGGCCTCTAACTCAGATCCACCTGCCTCTGCTTCCAGAGTTCTGGGATTAAAGGTGTGCACTCCTGCTCACCGGCTCTTCCTTCCCTGTGTGTGTGGTTTTTTTCCAGGTTGTGTGCTAAATAGAATAGCTGTTTGTTCAGTTCATAATGGCCTCTTAAACATTTCAGTCCTCTTATAGGGTGTGATAGCTGGAATCAACGCCAGTCTTCGGGTCAGTCGAAAACCACCCTTTATTGTAAGTCGTACAGAAGGCTACATAGGAGTCTTAATTGATGACCTCACCACACTGGGCACCAGCGAACCATACCGCATGTTTACCAGCAGGGTAGAGTTCCGGTTGTCACTGCGTCCGGATAATGCTGACATGCGCCTCACTTTCAGAGGTAACTAACTAACGTTCCTGTAAGGTATTGCACTGCTTTTTTGGGGTTTTGTTGGTTTGTATAGTTGTTCTGAGGCAGGATCTCTTACAGTATAGCTGTTCTACATCCTGCCTTGGGAAGGGGAAGTTGGGGTGAAGGGCTGTTGACAATGTCTCATGTGTAGTCATCTTTGAATTACTGTAGTCTCCCTCCCTTGCCTCTAAGTGCTCTTATAATGGGTTTGTGCAGCCGCCCTGCATTCTATTGTTCTTTAAACCTCTTCCCTCTTCCTTACCTAGCCCATAAGGACGCTGGCTGTGTGTCCCCACAGCGATATGAAAGAGCTTCCTGGATGAAGTCGTCTTTAGAAGAAGGCATGTCTGTGTTGAAATCCATTGAGTTTTCAAGCTCCAAGTGGAAAAAGTTAATTCCACAAGCTCCTATAAGTATTAATAGAAGCCCTCCTGTCAGGTATGGTTTCCTTAGTTTTTACTGAAAACTGAGATTTCAGAGACATATCATATACAGACCCTACCTACACATTTTAAATGAATACAGCTTGCCCTTAGCTTCTTGGCAACTTTAGTATAATTTATCTACTTATTCAGTATATGTCAATATGTGAGCATGTTGACATTAATCTCAGCAGTTAGGAGGTGGAGATGGGAGCAGGAGTTTCAGATCAGTCTAAACTGGGCTCTGTAAGACCCTGTCTTCAAAAATAAATTTTAAAAGAAAAGTAAAATATGTATACCTGGGCTTATAACTTGTTTGTAGACTGCATGCTTAGCATGAATGAGGCCTTAGGATCAGTCCCCAGAATCTCTGCCTCCCAAGTGCTTGGCTAAAAGCATGTATCACCATAGCTAGTGAAAATTTTTTCTTAATAAAATACATTCATGTATGACTATAAGTTATTTTTTACATATAGGTGTTTTGCCTACATGTATGTGCACCATATGCATGTCTGGTGCCCAGGGAACCAGAACAGGGCATCAGGTCCCATGAGCTAGAGTTACAGATGGTTATGGGCTGCCCTGTGGATTCTGGGAATCAAACCCAGCCCTCTGGAATAGCAGTCAGTGTTCTTAACCCCTGGGCCATCTCTTCAGTTCTTAACTTTTTGTATATGTATCATTTCTTTGTGGTGCCCATCTTTTGTTGTTCTTCCTCAATTTTAGAAGCTCCAAACCAAAAAATAGAAGGACTCATTTTCTTGGCTAGGTTCAAACCAATTAGAGTGGTCCCATCTAATACATGGTCTATGGTAAGGAAAATCATTTAATTAAAAAAAAATACATTGCTGGGTAGTGGTGGTGTATGCCTGTAATCCCAGCACTCAGGAGGCAGAGGCAGGCGGATCTCTGTGAGTTCGAGGTCAGCCTGATCTACAGAGTGACTTCCAGGACAGCCAAAGCTTCACAGAGAAACCCTGTCTCAAAAAAAAAGAAAAGAAAAAAGAAATCAAAAAACAAAACAAAAAAACCATATTATAAATTCTTTTTTGTTTTTTTCATTGTATTATATATTCTAAGTTCTTTTTTTTTTTTTTTTTTGTGGTTTTTTTGTTTTTCAAGACAGGGTTTCTCTGTGTAACAGCCCTAGCTGTCCTGGAACTAGCTCTTGTACACCAGGGTGACCTCAAACTCACAGAGATCCTGCCTGCTTCTACCTCCCAAGTGCTAGAATTCAAGGCATGTACCACCACTGCCCGGCATGTTCTAAGTTCTTATTTGTATTTATTATAAATTTTTTGAAATGCCATGCCTTCTGAGATTTTCTGTCCCTCAATTTAGTTATGCGGCCTCAGACTAAAGGACGTTCATAGAGGAGCACTTTTGCTATAGGGACAAGGGAAGTGTGTCTGTGTTATGTAGTCCAAGCCAGCCTTCAACTTGCTTAAAAGCTGAGGTAGCTTAGGATGAATAAATTGCACCCTGATTATCCTGCCCCACACTCAAGTGCTAGGACAAAAATAAATTCTGGGGACCTTGAATAACACAAAATGTGGTGTTCACCATTGTTTTTTGTTTTCTTTTTTGTTTTTTCTCCATTTGGAAAATGTGCTTTAGATAGGAGAGGGAGCCGCAGGGCACAAATCAGTAATCTTCTGTACTTTAGAGGTGCATTGTGCATATCACGATGGCACTGATGCCCTCCCTCTTATGACACTTGCTTTCTGTGACGGCTCGTATGGATGTTGTGTGCTCCCAGTTTTTGTTGTGTTGTATTTAGTTTTATTTTGAGAGTGGGTGGCCCAAACTTTCTCCGTGACTGACAATTACTTTAAGCTCTTGGCCCTTTCATGGCAGATATGAGGGCACTAGTCCTTATGGCTGACCTCACCTCTTTATAAAATAATAGGATATTAGTTATAGAGAGATGGGAAACCGGAATGTAGAGAACTCACTAGCGTGAACACTGACTTCAGAATAGAGTGTTGACCTCTTCTGAAGAGCAGAGACCTAGTTGTTGTGGTCACTGTCCTTCCTCGGGTATGCCTCAGCAATGTGACATAGAGACTGCACTTCCAGAGCCTCTGAGGGACACCAATCATCTGAACCCTAGCCTGCAGAAGGACGGCTCATTCATAGTATACTAACCAAGACTGAATAGACGTGAAACACTTTCCTCATCCTCCAGATGGATGTGACAAAGCCCTGGTCAGCAGAGGATATTCTTTGTAAGCAGAGAGGGAGAGAGAGCGCGTGCATGAGTGCCTCATAAAACCTTAATAACAGTGTAATTCTAATGTAGTCAGGAAGTCAGGAAATCAATACTTTTGGATGGGGGTTTTAAGCTGGGATTTTATGTAACCCAGACTGTCCTCAAACTTTCTGGGTAACAAAGGCTAGCCTGGTACTCCCAGTGCTCCTGCCTCTGCCTCTCGAGTGCTAGGATTATAGACATGTGTTACCATGCCCAGAGAGAATCAATTGTTCCTTTTGTTGTTGTTTTGTTTGTTAGTTTGTTTTTTTATGTGCATTGCTGTGAGCATGTCAAATCCCCTGGAACTGGAGTTACAGACAGTTGTGAGCTACCATGTGGGTGCTGGGAATTGAACCCAGATCCTCTGGAAGAGCAGCTGGTGTTCCTAAACACTGAACCATCTTTCCAGCCCCAATTGTTCTTTTTCCTTTTTTTTTTTTTTTTTTTTTTTTGGTTTTTTCGAGACAGGGTTTCTCTGTGGCTTTGGAGCCTGTCCTGGAACTAACTCTGTAGACCAGGCTGGTCTCGAACTCACAGAGATCCACCTGCCTCTGCCTTCCGAGTGCTGGGATTAAAGGCGTGCGCCACCATCGCCCGGCTTATGGTCTTTATTTTATTCTGCATCAGGGTCGTAGCCCTGACTGGTTAAGTAGACTAAGTAGACTAAGCTGGTCTTGAACTCAGATCCTTCTGCCTCTGCCTCCTGAGTGTTAGGATTAAAAGTGTTCACTACCATGACTGACCTGGTGCTACTGTATTTGCTCACTGTATATGGAAAAAAATTAAAAGTCTCATTTAATTATTCTAATATTTGGTATTACGCCAAGGATTTTGTTGTTAGTTTGCCTTATAGGGTATAGATCCTTATGTTGATAAAGTCTTTGCATCGGCAGTGCTCTAGACGTTCTTAAGTATGAAGGAGTTGACATGGAGTTGCTGGCCAGTGCTGTTCCCGAGCCCCTGAAGAAGTATACTGCTTACAGAGAGCTGGCTAGAAGACTGAAAATAGAAGGTAAAAGGGAGTTGTTTTCCTTTGGTGCCTGTATTCTCTTTTCTGGATGTGCAGATTATGAATGAGCAGTAGACCTGTCTAACTACTCTCTGAATATAGTGATGCATGCCGGAGGATCACGCTGGCTTTAGGTTTTGGCAGGTTTGCCCTCCGTAGATACCAAGCAGTGAAAAGGGCACAGAACAGGATGATTATGGGAATGGTAGGAAAGTTTGATTGATAGTGCTGTTTATACAGGACAAGACCTTTACTCTTTGGGGAACAACCAGGGTGGTAAGAATGGTGCATTCCTTGCAGGGTTGGCGCTCTCTTTCAATTCCACAGAGGTCTATCAGCTTACCATGCTTTGGCTGTGTGTGTAGAATGGCCATATGTTGACTGCCATTGCATTGTGTAATGTTATAAAAGGCTAGCAATGAAAAGAAACCTGTGAGAAATTCTAGAAACATTATTCCAAATGACCCATTATTAAAAAATTAAATTTGATTAAAAAGTAACCCTGATGGGGCTGGAAAGATGGCTCAGTGGTTAAGAGCACATGCTGCTCTTCCAGAGGACTAGAGTTCATTCAGTTCCCAGCACCCACGTCACAGCTGCAACTTCAGCTGTGAGGGGATCCACAGGCACCTGCACTCACACACATACACCACAGACGCATGGTTAAAAATAACTTGTGAAATCTGAAAAAACAAAACTCGTCACCCCGTACTAGTGACAACCTACAAGAAGAGTACAGACTTTATTTCGCCATTATGACTCCTCTACTAAAGAGCTTCGTTAGCTATTTAGGCTGTAGCAGTGGAAACAGCCGCTTAGATTACCTTTTTTAACTTGGTGCACAGCTTTACTTTGTTCAGTAAATATTAGGTTCCAGTTAGCATAGTCCAGAAGCACTTATCATTAACTTGTTTCCAGGAAATAATTCAACCATGACATAGCTGTTCTTGCTCTGTGAAGACCAGTACCTAAAAAATTCCAGCACCCACTTGAGGTTTAGAAGAAACCACATTGGGTTAAAGTACAATATATACGGGTAATTTTCAAGTTGCCACTTTAATATCCCAACCTTACAAGTTTCTTTTAATCCTTTTAGTTTTTAATTTTATTTTTATTTACATTTTTATGTTTGCTTCTGTGTGTGTATGCACATGTATGTAGGTGCTCATGGAGGGCAGAAGAGGGTGTTGGATCCTCTAGAACTGGAGTTACAGACTTCAGTTGTGAACTGTGTGATATGGGTGCTGGAAACCAAAGGACCCTTTATAAGAGCAGCAAGTGATCTTAACTACTCTCCAGTGATTTGTTTGTTTGTTTGAGACATGGTCTCATGTAGTGCAGGCCATCCCAAACTCCTAAGCAGCTGAGGATGACTGTGAGCTCTTAGATCTCCTAAGTGCCAGGATTGCCAGTGTATGCCACTCTACTTGGTTTTGTGCAGTGGTGGAAGATGATGGTTGATACCAGTTGTCAGCTTGGTAGGATTTAGAGTCACCCAAGGACACGAGCATACCAGACAAACCCTTTGCCAACTGAGCTACATGCCAGCCCCTAGACAAAATTCTTGAGGGCAGAAGTCAGTGTCACGTTGTATTATCTTTCTTGTTTTGCAATTTATATCTGAGAGATTAAAATAAATGTTCCCATGGCCATATACAAGATCTCAGCTATCCATGTATTAACATAAGTTACTCTCTTGTTGCTGTGACAGAGTACCTGGCAAGAAGCCACTTAAGGGCTTGGAGAGATGGCTCAGTATTTAAGAGTACTTACTGCTCTTCCAGAGGATCCAGGTTCAATTCCCAGCCCCCTCATGGCAGAGCACAACCATCTGTAACTCCAGTTCCAGGACTTCTGACACCTCCATTCATGCAGGCAAAACACCAAATAACATAAAATAAAAATAAATTATTAAAAAAAAATTCAAGGAAGAGTTTATACATGCAAACTTCAGAGAATTAACCTTCAGTGTTATTCATCCGAATGAGTCTGCTTTGGCTCATGACTTGAGGAGACAAAGTCCATCCCAGTGGGAAAGGCATGGTAGTGAGAGCAGCTAACCTATGGTTTGCTGCACTTGAGGCAGATAATCGGAGCGCATCCACAGTCAGGAAGTAGAGATGCCAGCACTCACTTCCTCTCTCCTTTTTGTTGAGTCCAAGGCCACAGCCAGTGGGGTGATACCACCTGCATTTAGGTGGGTCTTCCTTTGCATTTAAACCATTTTGGAAACATTCTGGCAGGCATGCTGGGAAGTTTCTGTAGTGATTTTAAATCTTGTCAAATTGATAATCAGTATTAACCACCACTGTAGCACGATTAATGAAAACCCAGAGGCAGATATTGGGGTTTAGTCTGAAGGTCAGGAAAGCAAAGCAGCCAACCACTGGCTCTTACTTCTACCTCAGTCTGAAATGGCAATCCTGCCTCCAGGAGTCTCAGAATGAGACTGTGTGAGAGCTGTCTCCTCCCATCTTATATTCCTCTGTAGGGCTGGGATTAAAGGTGTGCACTACCACCTGGTTTCTTTGACAAACTAGTGTGGCTACTGGGATTAAAGGTGTGCCACCACCGCCTGGTCTGTAAGGCTGACCAGTGGAGCTGTTTTACTCTCTGATCTTCAGGCAAGCTTTACCTATTAAAATACAAATGAAATATCACTACACGTCACATTACATTATACCCTGAGGGCTATTTATGAATCATAAGATTATGCCAGGTATAGTGAAGCATTCCTGTGTAATCCCAGCACTTGGGAGTTGAGGCAGGGATTATAAAAGGTCTTCCTGGCCAACTCAGTAAGACAATGTCTAAAATGTATAAAAGGGGCTAGGGACATAACTCTAGTAATGGTAGAGTGTGTGTCTTCTTGCCTAGCATTCACAATGCCCTGAGACCTGGTCTTAATCACCAGTACCAAAACCAGACAGCTTTATTTTTTATTTTATTTGTTTATTTATTTATTTATTTTGAGAAAGGGTTTCTCTGTGTAGCTTTGGGGCCTTGTCCTGGAATTTACTTGGTAGTCCAGGCTGACCTCACAGATCTGCCTGCCTCTGCCTCCTGAGTGCTGGAATTAAAGGCGTGTGCCACCACCACCCAGTTTGACTTTATTTTTCTAAGAATAGAATGCTTGATAAAATAATTGCCAAGCTCTCTTTATAACATTACTTCTCAATAAAAACCTTAACTAAATTGCTTAAGTTATGTTTGCCAACCAAGAACCCCACTTGTGAAAATGATTGCCTTGGGGCCAGGAGCACAGCTGAGCAACAGAGCTCTTTGTCAGGCATGTATAGGCCATGGTTCATCCTGGGACCACACACAGCTTCACATGAAAATAATTTAAGAACCATTTTCTTAGAGAAACCCTGTCTCGAAAAAAAAAACCAAAAAAAAAAAAAAAAGAACCATTTTCTTGGAGAAACAGCCCATCCTTAGGATTTAACATTTGCACTGACACGGTCAGATTCAGCTGGGCGTGATGACAGACACCTGTAGTGCTTACTACCCCTTTGCCAGTGGAGGCTGAATGACAGTTTCTTCACCTCAAAAAGGACACCAACCAGGAATTCAAGGTCAGCCTCACTGCAAGTTTGAGGCTATCCTGGGATACATGAGATTATCTGCCCTACCTGTCTCAGAGTATCAAGTATTGATGAGGTGATGCATGCCAAAGCTGTTTGTAAATAGTAAAGGGCTGTACAAACACAGTCATGTATCATAATAGAATTCTCATTCTTTTTTACCAGCTACTTATGAGTCAGTATTATTGTATCAACTACAAGAAATAAAGGAGGTTCAGCGAGATGAAGCTTTCCAACTGCCACAAGACTTAGATTATCTAACAATCAAGGATGTGTCGTTGTCCCAAGAAGTTCGAGAGAAGCTGCACTTGAGTCGCCCACAGACAGTAAGCAAACAAATAATGGGGAAAAACAAGTTAGAAGCTAAGCCAGAAAGGGCTAGTGCTTTATTTTAATCCTGGACTTAGAATGGTCACATGAGTGATCTTGAGAAACCTAATCTTGGGGCTGGAGTGTTGCTCTAGAGCTAAGAGCCCTTGCTGCTTTGCGAAGGACCCTGGTTTGGTTCCCATGGTGGCTCCCAAGTTCCAGGGAATTTGATGCCCCCTTCTGACCTCTAAGGGCACTGCGCGTACATGGTGTACTTATGTACATTCAAAAACACTCATGATCTGGGCATTGGTGGTGCACACCTTTAATCCCAGCACTCGGGAGGCAGAGGCAGGCGGATCTCTGTGAGTTTGAAGCCACCCTGGTCTACAGAGTGAGTTTTAGGACTGGCTCAAAAAGAAAAAAAAAAAAAAAATTTCATGCACATGACAATAACCTAGGAAGAAAATTTTTCTTTAAAAAATAAATGGTTTTTATTCTAACCCTGTGCTAAAGCATTGGTACACACCCTCTGTGTACCAATTTGTACAATTGGTACAGCCACTGAGGCAAAGCAGTGTAATGTAAGCATAATGTTTTCTCATCTAAAACAAAAGCGAAAAACAAAACTGATTCTTTCCCTCCCTCCCAGTAATTATGAAAAGACAATAACTGAGCTACAGGGGGACTTTGTGCTCTCCCCCCTCCTCCCCTTCCTCACTCCATCATGAGATTTTTGCCTGGCTTGAGCTTAGGCAAGCCTTGTCTGTTGTGTTCTGAAAACACTGCTTCCTTTAAGTAATCCACTCTTAGCATCTTTCCATCCCCTCTTCCTCCACGATCCCTGAACTTGGAGGGAACAGTGTTGGTACAGATGTCTCGTTTAGGACTGAGCACTCCAAAGTCTTGTATTTTCTGCATGTTGACCAGTTGTGAATATGTGTTAATTGCCATCTAGACCACATTATTTTCCTTCTTAAAAAAACGGGGAGGGAGGGTGTTGTATATGTATGTTTTCCCTACATGTGCCTATGCACAGTACATTCATGTCTGGAGCCTGTGGAGGTCAGAAGAGAGCATCAGATTCATGTTCCCTGGAACTGGTTGAGCCAGTCACTTTGTGGGTGCTAGGAGTGGAACTAGTTGAACTAATGTAGTCCTGGCTCTGTAGACCAGGCTGGCCTAGAACTCAGACAATCACCTGCCTCTGCCTCCCGAGTGCTGGGATTAAAGGCTTTCTAATGGCCATCATCACACCCAGCTCTTAGATAATTTTTAATAGCTGGGTGTTATTGCACCTGCCTGTAGTCCTATCAACGTGGGAAATTTGATGTGTTTTTATGTGTCATAGCTCACTTTGGTTCTTTCGTCATTTTAATTCCTAGATTGGGGCTGCTAGTCGTATACCTGGAGTGACACCAGCTGCCATCGTCAATCTGCTCAGATTTGTGAAGACCGCTCAGCAGAGACAGGCAGCAGTGACAGAACACCAAACCAATTAGTACTTAATGTGATACAAAGAAACTTCCAGACAGAATTGTAACTTTCATTTCATAGAGGACTTTTAGAAAGAGGATTTAGAGAGTATAAAAGGAGATAAAAATAATACCTGTGAGAATAGCATTGTTAGATTTAGATTTGTCCTTATAAGACAAAGGTTGTATTTATAAGACAGTTGTACTTTTTTTTATGTATGTAGGCAAAATACTTCAAAACATCAGTAGGTCATATAGCATTCATCAAAGGGTAATAATTAAGCCAAAACTAAACCTGAAACTGAGTGTTGATACAGATTTTAAGCAATCCCATCTGTTAAGAGATTGAAGCTGGGCTGGGCAGTGGTGATGCACACCTTTAATCCCTGAACTCGGGACGCAGAGAAACCCTGTCTCCAGACCTGGTCTCTAAGAGCCACGTCCAGAGCCTATGCCCTTTGGGAAAAAATTTTTCAGTTTGTAGATTTTCTACTCTTAAGCCCATATGTAAAGTTAATTTGCTATTTTTTACTCATAAAGCACCCCACACCACAGACTTAGTCTTGTATGCTTACTGTGGTTAGCAAACGGTGATTCAAGTCCTAAACTAGGATGAAAAATGAAGACTGAACTGGGCAGTGGTGGCACACACCTTCAATCCCAGCACTGGAAAGCAGATGGATCTCTGAGTTCAAGGCCAGCCTGGTCTACAGAACGGGTTCCAGTACAGCCAAGTCTACACAAAGAAACCTGTTTCAAAAAACTCAAAAAAAAAAGAAAAAATGAAGACTACAAAACCACCCCGATTCACTCAGCTGTTTTTCCTCTTTTGAGAACAGTTTTCAGCTGGTGTGCTATTACAGCATTATACACCTATACTGGGATAGGCAGGGGAGAACAGGAGAAATGGGTCAACGGGTAAGTGCAATGGCTGCTTTTTCAGAGGACAGGGATCAAGACGGGATCCACACCTGGCCTTCATGGCCATGTGATACACAGGCATACATGTAGGCCAAACACCCATATGCATAATACTTTTCTTTTTAATTTTAGCTTGACAGAGGTAGCAGGAAGCTCAGAAATTCAGCTATCATCAGTTTGAGGCTAATCTGGACTACATGAGACTCTGCCTCAGGGGTGTGGGTGGGTGAGGGCTGGATGCCCATGCAGTTTCTAATTCTGGAATTAATTGTGTAGGTTAAAAGCTGACCCAGGACATTTAAATCTTAGATTTCAGTACTTTGGAAATTTTCAGTCATTAGTTTTGAACATTAGTGGAAGTACTATAAAACAAACACAAACTTATTTTGTAAGCTGGTTAAAGGAGGTTAAAGGTGGTCATATTTCATGCAATAAAAATGTTTGCTGATCCAACTGACCTGGCCATGATTTAACATTAATAAAGCAATCTATAATTACTGATGAATCGTGTCTAGTAATGCCATATCCTTTCTTTACTGGTACAGGGATGGTATGTGCTGCATTGGGGTGACCAATGTGGGTCCCTTGACTAGCCTTTATGAGTAGACTAAGGGATGAATATAACTAAATGGGCCAGAGGGTTCTGGTTTTTTTGGGGGGGTGGGGGGTTGAGACAGAGTTTCTCTGTAACTTTGGTGCCTGTCCTGGAACTAGCTCTTGTAGACCAGGCTGGCCTCAAATTCAGAGATCCGCCTGTCTCTGCTTCCCAAGTGCTGGGATTAAAGGCGTGCGCCACTGCTGCCTGGCCCTGTCCCAGCCCTGTTTTGTTTCTTTAATACTAGTCGGGCTGTTAGCCCCGTGTTTGCTTAGGCTTCTGCTAGAAGTTAGTGTTCCAAGGCCTCTAGTCACTTTGGCCCTATATCTAAGATCTGATTATGGGGGAGGCAACCAAATATTTTGCTATATATAATTTGGCACAACTATTTGAATGTAGTTCAATTTCTTAGATTTGCTTGTTCATCTAGTTTTTGTCTTTCCAGGTCAGGTCAGGGTTTAATGATTTAAAATTTATTTTTATGTGCATTGGTGTTATGAATGTGTGAACATGCCAGATCCCCTGAAACTGGAGTTACAGTTGTAAACTGTTGTGTGGGTAGTGAGAATTGAACCCAGATCCTCTGGAAGAGCAGCCACTGTTCTTAAGTGCTGAGTCATTTCTTCAGCCCTGATACCTTTTGAGGTGTAGCTTTTAATCGATACCATGTGTGTATACAAATACAAAGAATACATAAGACTTTAGCCAGGCTTGGTATGTGACAGCATTTGACAATTGAGCATAACTTGGACTGTACAGTGAAAATTAAAAAAAAAAAGTGTATTGTACACCTATAATTCCAAGACTTGAGAGACAGGAGGATTGCTCAAATTGGAGGCAGAGAACACAGCAAAACAAAGCCAGGCTAGCCTGTAATCCCAGTGTTGGGGAGGCAGAGACAAGAGGAAAGCCACAAATGTCTACCTAGTACCCAAGAGAGGCCTTATCATACAACAAAAGTATATGCTCTACGATGTTCATAGCAGCATTGTTTGTGATAGCCAGAACCTGGAAACAACCTAGATGCCCTTCAATGGAAGAATGGATGAAGAAAGTATGGAATATATACACGCTAGAGTACTACGCTGCGGTAAAAAACAATGACTTCTCGAACTTTGCATGCAAATGGATGGAAATAGAAAACACTATCCTGAGTGAGGTGTCCCAGACCCAAAAAGATGAACATGGGATGTACTCACTCATAATTAGTTTCTAGCCATAAATAAGGGCCACGGAGTCTACAATAGGTGAACCTAAAGAAGCTAAGTAAGAAGGTGAACCCAAGGAAAAACATATAGTTATCCTCTTGGCTAAGGGAAGTAGACCAAATTGCCGGGGAGAAAATTAGGATCTTGGGGGTGGGGTGGGATGGGGGTAAGGGGAGATGGGGAGAGAAAAGGTAGAAGGGAAGGAGGGGGGACTTGGGGAATCAGGAGAATTGGGATAAAGGAAAGGTGGATAGGGGAGCACGGAACCACAATTCTTAGTTAAGGGAACCACTTTAGGGTGAGCAAGAGATTTGACCCTAGAGGGGCTCCCAAGTGCCCAACATGAGGTTCCCAGTTAGTCCCTTGGGCAGCTGAGGATTGGGAACCTGAAATGACCCTATCCTAGAGCAATACTGACGAATATCTTGCATATCATCATAGAACCTTCATCTGGTGATGGATAGAGATAGAGACAGAGACCCACACATGAGCACTGGACTGAACTCCCAAGGTCCCAATGAGGAGCAGAAGGAGGGAGAACATGAGCAAAGAAGTCGGGACCACGAGGCGTGCACCCACCCACTGAGACAGTGGAGCTGATCTCCTGGGAGCTCACCAAGGCCAGCTGGACTGTGACCGAAAAAGCATGGGATAAAACCGGACTCTCTGAACATGGCGAACAATGAGGGCTGATGAGACGCCAAGGACAATGGCACGGGGTTTTGATCCTACTTAATGTGCTGGCTTTGTGGAAGCCTAGCCAGTTTGGATGTTCACCTTCCTAGATATGGACGGAGGGGGGAGGACCTAGGACTTACCACAGGGCAGGGAACCCGGACTGCTCTGTGGACTGGAGAGGGAGGGGGAGAGGAGTGGGGGGAGGGGGAGAAGGGTGGGAGGAGGGGGAGAAGGGTGGGAGGAGGGGGAGGGAAATGGGAGGCTGGGAGGAGGTGGAAACTTGTTTTTTGTTTATGTTTTTTTTTCTTCTTTTCTTAATAAAAAAATTATAATCACAAAAAAAAAGGGAAGAGTGGGAAAGATGATGAATTTTAGTGTATGTAAAGAATTTAGCGGGGCTGGAAAGATGGCTCAGTGGTTAAGAGCATTGCCTGCTCTTACAAAGGTTCTGAGTTCAATTCCCAGCAACCACATGGTGGCTCACAACCATCTGTAGTGAGGTCTGGTGCTCTCTTCTGGCCTGTAGACATACACACAGACAGAATATTGTATACATAATAAATATTTAAAAAAAAAGAATTTAGCAAGTGGGTGAAGGGCGAACCTCTTGCATAATTTGCTCTTTTGCTTACATGTAGGATAATACATTAAACTTAATGTTCTTTATTGCATATCTCCTATAGAGATTACACTGGATATAGATTTCTAAAAGATGAGAGGTCAACACAATTTTTATTTTTTTGATTCTCTGTAGCTTGAGCCTATCCTGGAACTCCCTCCTTAGGCCCCTGTAGGTCTCGAACTCAGAGATCCATCTGTTTCTGCCTCCAAGTGCTGTGGTTAAAGGCGTGCACCACCACAACCTGGCAAAGCCAACACTATTTAGTACCCAGCTATTTTCTAAAATAATTTTTCTTAAAAATTGGTACTAAGAAAACAATCTATTTGAGTTAGTATTCTAGTTTGTCATTGAAGATCCCATCACTTGCAAATGATGGAAGTGGCGTTGTGTTACATAAGCAATATTGGAACTAGTCCTGAACTAGCTCTTGTAGACCAGGCTGGCCTCGAACTCAGAGATGCGGCAGGAAAGTCTTAGGAAAAGAAGATGAAGATGTCTCATCCATACAGGATTTAGAAGACACTGTTCTCTCCTGTCAATATAGGTACTATACATCCAGTAATTCCCATGGGCCTGGGTCATGATGAACTAGTACCATTGAAGGCCATCTGACATTAGTTTCACCCATGTTCTCAAACTGAACTTGTACAGTCAAACTTGCTTTGTATCTGTCTAGTTCAATTCAAGAGTAAAAGATGATCTGCCAGGTGGTGGTGGTGAATGCCTTTGATCCCAGAATTCAGGAGGCAGAGGCAGGCAGATCTGAGTTCGCGGCCAGCCTGGTCTGTAAGAGCTAGTTCCAGGACAGCCTCCAAAGATACAGAGAAACCCTGTCTTGAAAGAAAAATTCGTCTTCATTCCCGAGACAGAATCTCAGAGCCAACAAGCGAGTGCCGGGATTAGAAGGTATGTGCCATCACCCAGTTAAGATTATTTTTTTTAAATATTTATTAAAAGGGCCGGGCGGTGGTGCCGCACGCCTTTAATCCCAGCACTTGGGAGGCAGAGGCAGGTGGATCTCTGTGAGTTCGAGACCAACCTGGTCTACAGAGCTATTTCCAGGACAGGCTCCAAAGCCACAGAGAAACCCTGTCTCGAAAAAAAAAAAAAAAATATTTATTAAAGTGTTCCGCCTGCATGTATACCTGCAGGCCAGAAGAGGGCACCAGATCTCATTACAGATGGTTGTGAGCCACCCAACATGTGGTTGCTGGGAATTGAACTCAGGACCTCCGGCAGAGCAGCCAGTGCTCTTAACCTCTGAGCCATCTCTTCCAGCCCCCAGCTGTTTTAGATTAAAAAGAAAAAAAGGTTTATGTAGCTAGGCATTGTGGCAAGGCCTTTAACCCCAGCACTCGGGAGGCAGAGTTGCACGACAACCTGGTTTACAGAGCAAAACTGGAGTTACATGTCAGGGCTGGATGCACAGGGAAACCCCCATGTCCAAAAAAAAGTATTTTTTAAGAGCCAGGTTGTGGTGGTGTAGCCTTTAATCCCAACATTTGGAAGGCCAAAGCAGGCATATTTGGCATACCTGTCCTAAAATAAGTATTTTAAAGTTCACTTATTGATCCAAATATTAATAGGTTGTAGTAGGCTGGAATAAAGGATCACAAATTTAATGACTGCCTGAGCCTGACTGAATTTTTATAAAGGAATAAGGATTATAGTTCAGTAAGTAGTATACCTACACTACCAGGGTTCAGCACCCAGTACCCACTTCAAAGGAAATTGCCAGACTAGGTCGATTTAAACACCCCGGATGACTGAGTAGCAGTGTAGGCACAGCATTGAAGAGCACTTAAAATGATTCATCCTTTACTAGAGCCATGTGCCTGTGGAACCTAGTTTTCCTCCACTTGTCCTCTGCAGCACCCCTTTACCCACTGAGCCACCTGTTTAAGATGTTGGACTCTCAAACCTGTGTAATCCAGACAGACCTGCAACTCCTTGAGTTGCCAGGGGTAACGTCAGTAGCAACAGCCCTTTATTGATAGGCTAAAGGCCAAGTAGATCAAATTTCCCAGCATTAAAAATATGCCCAAGCAGGGTGCCTTGGTGCTCACATTTAATCCCTGCACTATTAGCTGGAGTTTGAGGCCAGCCTGGTCTACAAAGCTAGTTCAAAGGACAACCAGGGTTAAAGAGAAATCCTGTTTGTCCTCCTTCAAATTCCTTAGCTTTATTTTACCCACACATGTGCACATTCCTGCCTAGTACACAGGCCATTCATTAGACTCACCCAACTTAGAATGCTGAAGAAACATCATGTGAGTGCTGGAATGAGGGCAAGTCCAATCATTTGTAACCAGAAATGTAACCAGCTAGCCTACTTAAAGCAAGCAAAGTAATTAGCTTTCATTTCACTTCTGGGCCTCTCCAGTGCAAAAGGACTACAGATGCACTCCTGGTATGTAGCTAACTTAGTGGGGCTTGTCCAACAGGCCTGGATCCCATACCCAGGCTTTTTCCAAGTTTTGTACCAGTAGGTGGTGCTATCCACTAAATTCTACACATGCACAAATCTGATTCAATCTTTCCTTTATCTACTTTCCAGGTAGGTAG